CTAGACACTGCTAATGAATAATTTTATAAAGAGCAACTATTCTTATATAATAAAGAGATAGTCTATCTGTCTGCCTTTTTGTAATGCTCTTGGAGCACTCTGATTGGTTAGTGAAACAACCAATCAGAGTGCGGAGTGCCATCATGACGGCAGGGATGAAGGGGACAGAGTGGGGGCCTCGCCCCCCCCACTCCATCCCCACCATCATGGCAGCCCTCCACTGCCTCTGAGGAGCAGGGCCAGTGGGTGGGGTTGGGGGGCAGCGGGACAACTCCCCCCCGCTCCTGGGAGGCAGCGGTGGCACAGGTTGGTGGGTGGCGGTGCTTCATCCCTGCCCACCCCCCCGTCATTCTTGACGGGCAATTCACTAGTATACTGATAATGCTGTACCATCTAATTACACGTGCATAGATAAAGGAAGGAGTGTAAAAGGAGACTTATTCCTGGACAGGTTGGATCAATGGGCAGAGAGCAACAGGATGAAATTTAATAAAGATAAATGTAACGTACTCCACCTGGGAAGGAGGAATCCCCAGCACACCTATAGGTTGGAGAGTGTCCTTCTCAGCAGCTCGGAGGCAGAGAGGGATCTTGAAGTCATAATTGACTCCAAGATGAACATGAGCTGGCAGTGTAACAAGGCCATCAACAAGGCCAATCACACCTTGTTGTGCATTAGCAGGTGCATGACTAATAGATCAAAGGAGGTGATGCGGCACTGGTCAGGCCGCAGTTGGGGTACTGTGTCCAGTTTTGGGTGCCGCACTTCAAGAGGGATGCGGGGAATCTCGAGAGGGTCCAGAGGACGGCCACTCACATGATTAGGGCCTTCGTGATAGACCCTGCGGGGGGAGGTTGAAAGAGCTGAATCTCTTCAGCCTTCACAAGAGACGGCTGAGGGGAGATCTTGTGGCTGCCTATAAATTTATTAGGGGAGGTCAACGGGGAATAGGGGAAGCGCTGTTTACTAAGGCGCCCCAGGGAGTGACTAGGAATAATGGGTGTAAACTAGTTGAGAGTGGATTTAGGTTAGATATTAGGAAGAAATTTTTCACAGTAAGGGTGGCCAGGATCTGGAATGGGCTTCCAAGAGAGGTAGTGCTATCACCTAGCTTGGAGGTCTTCAAGAAGAGGCTAGATAGTGACCTGGCTGGGGTCATCTGACCTCGGTCCTCTTTCCTGCCATGGGCAGGGGGTTGGACATGATGATCCATTGTGGTCCCTTCCGACTCTACAATCTACGAATCTATTCTTCAATGAAAAGACCAGGCACAATCAACCCCTGGTCTAACAGTTGAGCTGAGCAACTATTTTCTGGTGCCTCCAAAGTAGCAAGGCACTTCAAAGGTGGTGATGAACGAAAGGGAGGCTATGAGTTCATGGCATCTATTTCCCTTTATACTGGCCAACAGAAAAGGCTAGGTAAAGGGCTGGAATTACACTGCATCAACAGAAAGAATGTGAAAAGGGATCATGACCCCACATTCTCCTTGCTCCACCCTACAAGCTGAGAGGATGTGTGCGATCCATGCAGTCTCCCAGGTGTGAGGGAATTCTGCCTCTGGAGGTACAATCCCCCTTGGAGCTTTTCCTGGGACAGAGTAACTGAACCACCCCTACTCAATGACACAATTAAGCACTTCGTTAGGAAATTTTAAAAGAACCAAAAGTACTAATTAATTGGTGTTCTGGTTAGAACTAATTCAAAGGTTTCTTACAGTATCCTGGGATATAGCGTACTCTGCTTCCCAGAGAATCAATCAGTCTAAGATTGATGAAGGGCTGCTGAGGTCAGGTTTGCAAACACAGAACCATCTGCAGTCTCCTGGGTTGGTACCTGCAGTGGAGTAATTTTACAGGAGCAGGTGTTTGCTTTTAATGTACATTTTTTTTCTGCTGAAATTGTTATTTTATTACAAAAGAGTCTGCAGTTTATTATTAAATGTATATCTTGTCAATTGCTACTATTAAATATTTTAACTGTCACAGAATTTTTATAGTTAACATATTTCTTAAATCTAAAGCCCAAAAGTCAAACCAAAGATGTTTATACGAAACACGAGTCAATCACAAACTTCTCCAAAAAATGATATATATAATGCATTAGGATGATTAGTTCACTTCCAAATAGAGAAGTATGTTCAGAATAGAGCCATTTTTTCTTGTTAACTGCAATGTTATTTTTAACAAAACTACCTATCATTTGTTTCTATTAACAGCTTTCATGAAGAGAAATGATTTACTAACTGGTTGCCAGAACTCTGACTGGCAGAACTAACTGGTCTCCACTTTGGATTCAGGGAACAGTTTCCAGATTAGTTGCTCTAGTTTGTTTCCTGTTCAGAAACAAAAACTTGGGAGGACAGAGTTTGGATTCAGAATCATGTCTGTGCCCTCCTAACATCTCCAGTGTCCCAGTTAAATCTAGTCTACAGGAGAAATCTTCAGATGATGTAAACTGCCATAGCTCCATTACCTTCAGCTGACCCATGGAATCTGCAGAAATTCAGTATCTGGCCTCGGGTGTTTAAACCACTCTCATTACAAGGTAATATCTGAGCATTTGAGTTTGGTATCTATGTCTCCCACAGCAATGGCTGTCCTCACTGCACCCACCTGGCCTCGTATAGGCGCTCTCTAGCGGCTTTAGAGAGCACACCCGGTGCCAGCCGCAGGGTGTGTCCCTGAGGCGTAGGTGTTGGGTCGCATTCACCCCCAGGAAAGGCCCCGACACTCGCCTGCCACGACTTGATCTTTTCTTCGGTGGTGGGGCTCCTTCTCACAGGTTCTCACAGACCAGGTGCTGACCTTACCAGGTGTTCTTGGGGCTCCACCTCCCTTACACCACAGCCATGCGCCAACCCTCAGGACGGCCAGATGACAGGTTGCTGGCCAGTCCCTTGATGTCATGGCCTGTGCTCTCTCTCCCTGCCCGTCTCTTGTCTTCCCTTCACACAGGAAGGCTGCAAGCGTGATACCGCCCTCGTCACAGTGCCCACTCTTCTCTCTACGCATAGCGGTATGCAGAGTTGCCTCGCCTCCTTCCCCTTGACACAAGAAGGCACCTGAAGTCTCCCTCTCTGCTCTGGGCTCTTATAGACCCTCTAAAACAACAGCACAAAAAAAACCACAAAAAAAAAGGAAAAAAAATAATTGGGGCTCGGGGCTTCAGCCCGTCCCACTCACAGGTCTGGCGTCTGTGGTTCCCAGGATCCCTCAACGCCATCCTCTTTGATCCGGCTGAACTGAGGAGATGCCTTTTATATGAGCCAGGACCCGTCCTGTGGGTCTCCATCCGGCTTCTTGTCAGGCTGCCGACACAGCCCATGTGTAGCCTGGGGAGCAGCCATGCCCTCCTGGCTCCGGTGTTGCTGCTCTCCCCACCACTCCTTTACCACCGGCTTTTAAATTAACTGGGCAGCGTTTTTTGATGACATCATCAGCTGGCGCCACTCCTAGCTGGCAATACAAAGCGACTGACGAACTGCACAGGCAGTTCGTCTTGGCGCAGCTCCTTTCTTTCTGAAAATAGTAAGTACACCCCATTTTCAGGGCTTTTCATTTCTCTCTTCAAGCGGGTCAGCCCTGCCTCGGGTCCCACTGCGGGAGGGTACCCCGGGGCCTCCACTTGTGTCCCTCTGGGACCCACACCTTCCCATTGGCCTAGTTATCCCAGTCTCCTCATTTTTCTCTCCCCAAAATCCCACTGGTCTAGCTATCCCTGAATTCTGCCTTGGATTTGCTTAATTTATTTTATCCATCATTCAGAGCAGGACTGTAATTATTTAAATGGAAAAATGTTTTAATTTAATGTCACAACTGAACCAGGGAAACTTAGAAAGTGTAAAATATTTCAGTCACCTACCCAAAACCTCATAGGAGCTGTGTAGCTCAGTCATTAGGGTAACTCACTCTGAACTGGAAGGACCTGGATTCAATCCCAGTTGAAGGTGATGGATTTCCCCTCATCATTTCAACTTCCAGTAGGGCCCTAAGGTCCACCTGGCCTCCTAGCCAATGGCTACTAGGAGCTACATAGGGGTAAAATGTGGCTGGAACATGATGCTGACCACATCACCACCTCCTCATGCTGAGGTTACAGAAACAGCAAAGCCTGGGGTCTCAATGGCATATAAATGGGATACCTTTTCACCTTTTACCAAACAGATCATGAAGACAAAACCAGGGGAGGACTTTTCTGTAAATTTGTAAGGCAATGAACAATGTTTAATTAAATCTCTATCTAACAAGAGCTTGGAAATATCTTTCTATATGATCCTATCCTATGTCAGGATAACTGTTGAATAACTGTTTCCAGTCAGTTGATATTAGTAGAAGCAAAAAGTTCTCAGCTTCTCCTAAAACCATTCAATCAATATTCCCTATCAAGCCTCTCTAATATCCAAAGATATATTTTCCCATTCCTTTTTTTTTCCATTTTCTGAATTCTTGTGAAACTAGGCACTTATGTTTTTATAACAAAAATTAGGGAAA